ATTCTGTGATTACTGTATTTGATCTCAACTTTCTCCTCTGCTTCTCCCAACGCTAGGCCAGGAAGAACTATTCCTCTTTTTCTTTTTCTCCCTAGATGAAAACCACTTCCCAAAAGCTAAGGTACGGACATAAAATGGCAGGTTGGGAAGAGGAGAAAAAAAAAAAAATGCACCAAAATCCCCTTATCTTTACAGATTATAAACCCTTCAATGTGAGTATTGTCTCTACTCTGGAGACCGCAGTGGTGTTACAACAGGAACAAGGTATTGAGATAAGGCATTCCTTATTCCCAATTCACTACTTCTCTACCTTCTTCATAAAGGTGCCTAAAAAAAAATTCCTTTGTGAATTCACTGGACTTTTTGAAATTATCAACACAAAAGTTGTATTAGAAAGCAGGATATGCAAGAGTACTTCTTCAATATCCTTTAGTATTTTAATAATTGCTTGAAACATTTCTTTAATAGAATATTTTACAATAAGTAGTTATTTACAAAGTCTTTAAAATAGTGACTAGGTGCTCTTAGCAAGACTTCTGATTATTATGATTACAGTGTGGGCTTTTTTAATTCTAGAAGAAACATGAAAAATTTATCAGCTGAGAAATTTGCCTTTTGTCAAGATTTGCTGGCACGCAATCAGCAGTAGTACACAGCAAGGAAGTCAAGGTTACTCTAGATAACAACCAAACACAACCAAACCCAGGGTCTTTACTGAACCAAGAATCCAGAACTCAGAACTGTATTTAAATAATACCGAGAATAACTCACACAAACAACTAACATAGCATTATTTAAAAAATACTTAATCTCATCAGGAGCATTCAGCAGCTGCATTGTTTAGATTCAGTCAGTTAAAAAAAAATTAAGTCTTGTTCATTGAGGGATCTCTGGATTTTGCTTTTCAGTCACAGACATCCAGCTGGCAGAGAGCACTGGGAGGAATGGAACCAATCCAGTGCCATCAAAAGACTTCCACTGCCTGAACAGCAAAGGACTTCTTGTGCCCCAGGAGCAGATCCACAAAGACGACCTTCCTCCAGAGTGAAAGATCAATCCACTATGTGTACAAAAGGAATGACAATTGTTTGGTTTAATTTCTACACCTGATTCCTGTGCAACACCCTAGAAGTATTACTGGAAAAATCACATACATGTTAAGATTTGGAGGAACACCTCCGGAGTATTGCTTGTCTGCATATCATGAGGGACAAATAAGGTTTTTACTTATTTATTCAAAAGCTTTAGAAAAGCAATCTGAGCAATCTTCTTTCCCCTTTCTTTATCTATGGACTGTACATCCAGGTTGGACATCACTGAAGAGCTTCCACTCCTGCTTAGGTTGGGAAGGGGAAGAGCAAGGCTTTTCTGAGGCACTATTGAGCTGTACTTGCAGAGTACAGACTTCAAGAACAGTCCAACTGAACTAAAATTACAATTTTTAGTTTATACTCTTACACTTCCAAAGCACAGGCAGTCCTAATATTTTTCTACTGTACACACAGAAGTCTCCAAGTCTCTGGAAAATTCAAGCCAACCACCTTCTCCCTCTCATTCCATTTTCAATCTTATTGACTATGGAACATACAGTAGAAGTCATTAAGCTACATTTCACAGTTTATAGTTTTAATGGTTTTGCAACATTAGATGCACAACACATTTTCAGGCATCAGAAATTAGGCTTTGCTATCTAACATTTCATAAAGATAATAAAAGTTAATGAGAGCTTATGATCTATGATCTGACAAGACATCTGTTCTGTTTTTTCCGAGATAAAACACTTGTCCTGCCTTGTTCTGGCACAGTGGGAGACAACAAATATAAACCAATTAATCATTCTAAACTATAAGCTATATTAAGTTATAGTTTCTCTACAGGCTTTTCATATCCCGTTGTTAATAGGGCACAGGCATCCTAAAAACAGTCTTTCAATGCAATAATTAAAGGCTGCTAACATTACATGGTCAACTGCAGCAGACAGTCCTGTTTAGCATTTCAGCAGGGAAAAAACAACCGTTCAAAACAAGCAATAACAAGGTTGCTGTTATACCAGGAGTCCAGCATCAAGAGCTCTGTGCCCATTTTCTACGTATTTTCATCATGCTTTTTTATTACAGGAATATTTTAACAAAGTTTCATTCTGACCTATGAAAGGAGTATTTGGTACAAACATTACAAGAAATACTACAAGATACTTCGTATGAGACACACCTAACATCAGTATGGGGGAGGAAGGAGTGATCTTCTGAACCATTTGGAGGCTGTAAAAGGGACATCTGTCACAGGGAACTAAACTAGTTCAGAACACTAAAACTCTACACTCTCTTACATTTCAAAATCAGTTGCTGAGTATTTTAGGAATACTTATCAAGACCAAATTCAGCTTGTTGATACCTATGTCACCTACAGTACAACACAAAAGTGTAAGTGCAAAAAAACCTGAATCTGATTTGGTTTTTTTTTTTCCTTCACTCAGCCTTATGGTATGACATGTTTTGGACAACATGCAGTAGTATGCAAGGTTTAAGTTTCCTGCAAACAGAACATCTGAAATGAAAAAAGATAAAAACCCCACAGATTGTGTAGTAATTATTGAGCGACAGTATTTACAGTAAAACCCTCGGATCAAGATAAAATACCAGTTTACATAAAGAAAACAGAAATGCATAATTCCTGACAAATACCTTACGTTGTTCAAAACACTGTCCTGCAATCAATCTGTCTTGCAGAGATACACAAAGAAATAAGCTATATAGCCAGGGAATCAAGTACTGCTCAACTGCGCAGAACAGCAAAGCACTTTTGCTAACTGAAGGATCCAAGATAACTGGGATTTAAGGCTAAAACCCCCCCAGCCTCAAACATCCAACCTATCTAAATAGTCTAAGCTTCCCAGAGCATGCCAGAGAAGAACAGCATCTCTCCACCGACTGAAGCAACAGTCTAACCAGCTTTCACTGGATTGCCCTGCTGGAAGACTCTGCTCTTTCCACCAACTAAAAGCAGTATTCTCCTTAAGCTGCAGTCACAAACACTGCATAAGAACTTAAACCAACATTTATGCATACATGTGCACAAACAGAACCAAAAGGGAAATGTATAAAGCTTAGCCTAAAGGAAAATTACCGTGGCACCACTAAATCAGATGGTCCACAAATTTCTCTCTCACACCCCCAGAGAGGTTATGTATGCTTTAGATTAAAATAAAGAAATTAAATCTGAAAAAACAGCACTAAGTAAGCAGCCTAGACAGATAAGCTGGTGAACTCAGGCTACACTTGTATTAGGCACTTAGTGTAGGAAAACATTAATGGATTAGGGGCAGTTTGTACTGAGGACCTGAGCCTTAAAATTTACGTGTTTGGGGGGTTTTCTATGCCTGAACTCATTTACTAACTCTTCAGATCATCTCTTCAGATCAGTTAGGTCCTGCAGACACAATTACATATTCATCCATTAGCATTTGGTACATTTTTGGATCATGTTTTTCTGTTTAGTTTCACCTGGAGAGAATCCAGTTTGCATTCCCTGAAGCAAAAGCATGACAAACAGGGATAATCAGATAAATTTAAAGAAAACAAACAAAGAAACAAGAAAAAAAAACCCCAAACAAGCCATCACTCCTAGCCTGAACCAAAACAATAATATGGACCCACCCTAGGGTCCCCAAAAAAGCAGTTATGCAAATACATCACCTAACCCAACATGTGCAGCTACTTATAATCAAAAACACATGCTGATGAGCCATTGCTGTGTATTTTTACAAATTATTTGAGTAATATATGCTAATTTTATATAATTTCTAAAACAAGAATATAATCATTAAAGTCTTGCCAGTTAACCTTGTGCATTTCCTTATGTCCATCCATACGCTTTGACAATGCCTTCTCAAATGCTGCTTCGACGACAATTTAAATTATAGTAAGATTAATAAAATCCTTAAAAAAGAAGGAAAAAAAGAACAAACCACCCACAAAGACACACAAACTTGTCACATTCAGATTCTGGTAAAAATATTAAAATTTAATAATACCTTTTAAACATACAATTATGTTAAGGAAAGAGTAAAGGCATTCAAACAAATGGATATAGATCTTAAATTATATTTACAAGTTCTAAACTGAAAGTTGACTATAAAGTCACAAATGCTTTAAACATTTAGCAGAATATAGTGTAAATTCTAATATAAATTAGATATTAACTTCATCTGTTATTTTCTCCAGTGATAACAGTCTAATCTTTACATACTATATACATTAAAATACTAAAAAGTTATAAAATTTTATTTCTGTTACTATGCAAAGAAATGGAAAATACATCGGATCTGTCTTACTGTACAGTATCCAAATTGAACTGTCTATAGCGTTCTCTGCAAAAATAAATGGCACTTTCACGTGCAACAAGGCATAAAGTACAAGTCTGTCCATTAGCAGTATGCCATCTGAGTGCAAAGTAAAATAAAGCGCAAATGTCATTCAACCATCGAGTTGAAAAACAAAAGTAAACTGTGGAAAGAGATTCTGACAAACTTTCCGATTCAGAAACAATAATGAAAAGCATGTAAATTGATTTCCATACAGATCTGTCATTTTAAAAAATGACAGCATACTGAGAAGTTTGTTGTGATGGCATCAAAGTTACTTTGACAACATAATGGAGGAAAAGCTGAGGATCCTGTACGAATTCTGAAACCCAGCCCAGCCAAGGGGTTGCGGTATCTCCGCCGCTTTTCTATTGACAGTTTCCAAAATTACTTCTGCTGCTCTGAATTGCACATCAGTACTCAGATGAGTTTTCTAGACTTCATTATGCCATTGTGTAACCATAGCTTCCACAGTGCAATGCCACAAGAAGCCTGTCCTTAAGGATTTCTTTACTTGGGTATTCAGGTAACTTGAGCATGTTGATACTGAGAAGAAAAAGAAGGAAAAAAAAAAAAAAAAGACACATCACAGTTCAGCAAGAAACCCAACAGTAAAGATTTCTGAGGGAAAACACATTCATGGAAGAAAACAAACCCGTGCTGCATTACAGTACCACTGACCATTCAAATATATTGCAGGAAATTAAGTTTTTTTCACTTCAGTAAATTGTAATACAATAATTTAAGTTCAATATTCCCTTATTAATCCCACTGCCTTTAGTAAAGCAAAATGAAGTAGTAAACAATGAGCAAACATAATGTAACGTCATCAGGGTTAAAACTCACCATTTTCACGTTGGATAGAGAATACTCCACAATTTTACTTTTATAAAATACTCCACAATTTTTATACTCCACTGATTTTTAACTTTTTTGCCTTTTAATGAAACGGTCAGGAAAGCTATACTTTTGACTGCGACTGACATGAAAAAGCCCTGTTTTTAAGATATTTCAATGAGACCAGTTAACATACCATGTGCTTGATGTTGGTAAAAGATTTGCAGTGTACGGCACAGCAGCAATTGTAAAATTTTGCAATCCACTGCCACCCATTATATGGGCAAAGCCACCATGAGGCACCCTGGAACTGAGGAAATTCACAGAAATTAGACCATTACAAGAATGTTATAAGCCAAAAAAATATAATCTCTACACTGCAAATATCTCTTACTGCTAGTAATTAGACAGTTACTAATACTTTTATCAAGGTTCCCCTTTTCTTACCTATTTCTTACACAAGAATTCTCACTGTCGAAATGCTTTTAATTACAATGTTGAATAATGTGTTTGTCCATTTACATTAGGCATCAAATTATTTGAATGATACTTAAGAGAATTCTGCTTACAAAGAAGACCCGTTTATATAACCAGTTTTTATAACAGAACATTATCCAGTTTAGGTAAACACCTATGGTTATTTATAGTTGAGAAACACTGCACCATAAAGTTTATTCTCCAACTACTATGCGTGAGACTACTGACCAAAGTGTTCTTCGCATGTCTTTTCATTTACTACTTCAGATGAAATATTTCTAGTAACTAATAAAACCATTACATTGGTCACACTATCACAGCATGACAACCTATGTCAAAAACAGAACACAGTAAAGAAAAAAAAAAAATCACTAGCATCTTCAGGAATGCATTCTCACTTAATCATATTACTCAGTATTTTTCTTTTATTATTCAAACATTACTCAAGGTGTAAATGGACAATAGCCCCGAGTCTTCAGAGTCCCTCCCTGTAATTTTAAACTAACAGAGAGAAATAGAATGAAATTCAGCTATTTTTATAACGTCAACTTAAGTTAGCATGCATTACAAAGTCACATGTTAGCACAGTCCCCACAACAACAGCAACCAAAAAAAACTACAAATGAAAGGATGGGGACTAAAGAAATGAAACGTGAGCCAGCAACGTATCCCTGCATCAAAGGAGGCCAGCAGCCTCTTGGGCTGCACCAAGAAGAACGTCATCACCAAGTTAAGGGAGATGATCCTTTCCCTGTACATGGTGAGAAACATCTGGAGTCCAGCTCCAAGCTCCCCACTGCAGGAGGGACAGGGACATATTGCAGCAAGTTGAGCAAAGGGACATAAAGATGGTAAAGGACTGAAGTACTCAACACAGGAGGAGAGCAAGTTGGGACTGTTCAGCCTGGAGAAGAGAAGGCTCAGGGAAATCTGATCAATGTATATAATTAACTGGTGGGGGGAATAAATAAGATGGAGCACAAGCATCAAGATGGAGCAGCCAGGGGTGCCCGGGGACAGGACAGGAGGCAATGGGCACAAACTGAAATCCAGGAAATTCCATTTAAACATGAGAAAAACTTTTTTACTGTGAGGTGGTCAAACACTGGAATAAGTTGCTCAGAGAAGCTGAGAGGTCAGCACCCCTGGAGATAGTCAAAACCTGATGGGACAAGACCTTGAGTATCCAGCTCTAGCTGACCCTGCTCTGAGCATGGGGTTGGACTAGACAATCTCCAGAGGTCCCTTCCAACCTCAGCTATTCTGTAATTTTGTAGCTATCAAACAACCAACCTGATAAAACAAAATAAACCTTCCATAAAATACATAACAACTGTTAGAATTTTGGATTACAGGTACTTTGGTTAAAAACAATGCTCCTGTATTCACAAAATCACAAGCTGGGTGATGAATGGCTTGAGGCCA